CCCCACCCCACCCCAATCCCCCCATCCTTAATTGACCGTAATTGTGTTGACGTTCATCTTTATACAAAATTTGTTTCCGATGTGGTGTTGTTGTTTTCTGTGTACAAAGTGCCTCTTTAGTTAAGTACACTTTGGACAAAATAGTTCTGAGGTGACAAATTGTAGGCCTACATGCTACATAATGCTAAATTTTGTTTCTAGTGGAAATAATACATTGATTGTTCTTTCAAGCATATTTTTAATAATGACAATTTTTTTTGGGTCTACAGCTATGACTGCCAAGGTAACAAGAGTCAGCTTTAAGCGAGGAATAAAGCGCGTGATTGTTACTCTTGGTCTGCGTAGAGTTCGACCCATTGGAAGACGAGATGCTGTCGGAGTGGCCAAAAAAGATCTCTCCTTGTCTTCAGAAGGTGACAATGAGCTTAGCGTAAATGTTGACAAGATAACTCTTGTTATTGCTATCGAAACAAAGAAAAATTGGTGCCATAAAAACAAATTCCTCAAGCTTTGGGGAAAAAAGGTTATTGTCCTCCATGATAAAAAACTGGCTAGGAAAGTTAAAATTCGACGCGACGACCACATTCATATAGCCCCTGCCTCGAAACGGAACGTAAATTATGTAAGAGAAGCCGACTCAGAGTTTTGCTCCAACTTTACTTCCAGCAGTGTAGGGAAGAGTAAGAAGTGTTATATAGAAAGACAGACAGACAGACAGACAGACAGACAGACAGACAGACAGACAGACAGACAGACAGACAGGGGGGGGGGAGTAATGTAAAGGAAGAACAAGAGACAGATCTATCCACAAGTTCCCATGTTCGTTGAATCTGGTTTTATTTACTGTTGATTTTGACAAAGACATGGTTCTTTCTAGGACTCAGTACAATCAAGTATGAATGAGTTGTGCCACCCCCTTTTGGCATGGGTGGTTTAGTGGTTAGACTTCGGACTCTCAACCATAAGGTCGTGGGTTTGAATCCCATCAGGGGCCCAATATTGTGTCCTTGGGAAAGGCGATTTCCACAAATTTTCCTCACTTTACCCGAATTTTTCTTACTCCATCCAGATGGAAATGGGTACCCAGATACGGAAAACGAAAGATCTTGATAGTTTGTTAATGTTTGATCACTTGATCTGCAGCTTGCTCTGTATGATTCCGGGGGAAGCCTAAAACGTTTCTGAGTATTCTAGAGTCTGCTGGGGTAATAATAGTTGTAAAGTGCATAGAACATGCTGAGAGCGTGGCTATGTGCTAGATAAATGCAATTATTATTAGAACACTGTAAAATTATTTACAAGAAAAGATCTCCCAGTTCGACCTATCTCTCCGAAAGGACTGAGCCAAATTAGGTGGAGAAACTTTAAAACTTTGCAGACAGATCAAGCATGCCCAACTGGAGATTTGAACCCAGGATCATCTGCCTGGTAGCTGAGTGTGAAACCTGTTCAACTGAGGACAGGCCCTCAAGGGCTTGCGGTTTTCTCTGATCTGACAGAAAAACTAAATCGGTGTGGGCAGAGTTATTAACAGTTCGACCTATCTCTCCGAAAGGACTGAGCCCAATTAGGTGGAGAAACTTAAAAACTTTGCAGACAGATCAAGCATGCCCAACTGGAGATTTGAACCCAGGATCATCTGCCTGGTAGCTGAGTATGAAACCTGTTCAAATGAGGACAGGCACTCAAGGGCTTGCGGTTTTCTCTTATCTGACAGAAAAACTAAATCGGTGTGGGCAGAGTTATTAACGACACTAGCTGTGTCACCGAACAATGGAAATTACGTTATGTACATAAACAGCCAAAACACCTCCGTTGCAGGCCCTCCAAGTAATGTATTGTTTTGTCTGCAAGGTGTGCGAAATCATTAATGCATATATAATTTATTTTATAGGTATGCATTGATATAATGTCTACAATGTATGCATGTTTTTCTAAGAAATAAAACTATTGAATAGGTGAACACTTAGATAAATTCATTAAATCACTAGTCATTAATGTGCTGTACTAGACGAACGATAAACAGCAAGATTGTGTTGCATTCTAGATCTATTTACATCTCAGCTTTCTACTTTTCTTTCGAGCTAATGACCAGTCTGTGCCTTGTGTCATAGGTGTCACAGCCAAAACTTTGGGTTTGTGACAGATGTAGCTCAGATGAAAAAGAAAAGAATTTCATTAGCCAAGGTTTGAACTTTAAAATATGTCAAGATTTAGACATGGCTCAATTCTCCTAATTATTTTCTCTTCATGAATATTTGGGTGTGGAAGTTGTGGGGGAGGGGGGGAGGGAGAAGGGAGTTAATGGTTAGTATTCTTAGCCTTTTAACAGACTTTTTGTTTTTATTTCTCTTAAGTCTTTAAAGTTTTTGCCATATGTTGCTGCTGTGTATTCTTCTATGTATTGTGTTATAATCATTCATACTATTTTTGGGTGTTTTTGATAATGTGATTGTAAGAAATCCTGCTTGTAACCAAATTAATCAATGTCATTATGATTATATCATGCTGTGTATATGCATTACGCCGTTTTGTTTTAGAAGCACATTTGCATGTGTACAAGTAAGAATGAATTCCCCCCCCCCCCAAGCTCTACACATGTATTTGTGCAAATTGTTTGTATCTTATGATGCTTACAAGCTGTTTTCTCTTCAAAGTCATCTTCATTTGAGAAATTTCTCACAGTTTCATGTAACCAGCATATGTCTATGACCTGTAACTTCATGTGTTAGTCTGCTGTCTGTTTTTCAGAATGCCAGTTACTCTCATGTTTTATTGTTTGTAGTCTTCATCCTGTCTTGATTCTATAAGATTGTCATAATATTTTTTTTTCTCATAATCTTTTTATCTCAAATAATAGTCATTACAAAATTCCCAAGCAGTGACTGATAAAAATGGTTTCTTGGGCACGCTTTTTAATTAATTTGTTTTAATGATACCAGAATAACTGCATAATTTTTGTTATGGGTAAATGTAAAATATTTGAAATTACTTATCATTATTTGCTTTGTATGAGCGGTTTGGTTTTTTTTTGTTTTTTTTAAATTGCATCATCATACTCCTGCAAATTTAGGGTTATAAAGGATTGCATCTGAGAAAGCACATTTCATTGGAGACAAAAAAAAGTACTGTTTTCTAATTCTTTCACCTTGTTTCAATAACTCAGAAGATTTTTTTTTGGGGTAGTTATGATCCTTTCTCAAACACTTCTTTTGTTCCATGTAGTATAAGAATTGTGCTTTCTTTGGGATCTCAGACTTTAGCCCATGACAGTTTGTAAAAGTCATCTATAAATTTCACTTAGTCTAATCTCACTCAAATGGCATGGCTATTGTATGCTGCAATATTTTTGTACTTAAAGCTTTCTTGTTTCTTTAACCACTAAGATCATTTTGGAAAATACGCTTTCCACTGTACATTATTTTAAAAATTTTTTTTATTGCTCTAGGAATGTTTTAACAATGCTTTTTATGTCTTCTCGTACAAATGTAATTTAGGAGATGGGCTAAGAACTAGGAAAAAGCCAACACAATTTGCATTAATGAAAGACTCCATCGCTCTATGGAAACTGGCATTTGTAATGTTGCAGTTAGGCGTAAGAGACCGGAGTTATATGCCCGAATGGGGAGAAATTTTTATCGAGTATCTCGGTCTTTCTGCTGGGATGTTGTATCCCTCTCAGCCCGGGTCTGTCTGCTGGGATGTTGTATCCCTCTCAGCCCGGGTCTGTCTGCTGGGATGTTGTATCCCTCTCAGCCCGGGTCTGTCTGCTGGGATGTTGTATCCCTCTCAGCCCGGGTCTTTCTGCTGGGATGTTGTATCCCTCTCAGCCCGGGTCTTTCTGCTGGGATGTTGTATCCCTCTCAGCCCGGGATGGCCCAGATAGGCAGGGTCAGAAGCCTGCCTCCTACGTGATCTAAATTTTGTCGATAGGGGTGAGAAACACCAACATAAAAAAAAACCCCCAACTCTGTAGAAATCTTTCTCTGCATGACCCTATTCTTTGATTGGTAGATTTGAGTGAAGTAAGCAAGTATGTAAATAAGTAAGTTTATTCAGAGTTTAAGGCCATTGGCCCGCATCATATTATATAAAACTCTCATTTGTGAAAAAGTAAAATTTCTATAATGAAAAAGTACAGGTTGTGCACATATATGTCTTATCAAGGGTAAAACATTGTGTAATATTTCTGTCATTGGGCCGAGTCAGGCTGGGAGGAATTAACAATTTCCTTTGATGGGCGAAATAGATTTAAGATAAACTGACCCTTGTCAGAATTTTGGGACTTTTGATTTCGTTTCGTGTTGAGTCCTAGCATTGTTCCTAAGCTACGTTTGACAAACTTACTGCCAAAGTCACCTGCCTCAGGAATGAAGTTACATGTATTAGAAAAAAAAACTACTGGTCATGTTGTATTGGACAAGATCTCTTCTACAACAACAACAAAACTGTCTGTCTGTCTGTCTGTCTGTCTGTCTGTCTGTCTGTCTGTCTGTCTGTCTGTCTGTCTGTCTCTCTCTCTCTCTCTCTCTCTCTCTCTCTCTCTCTCTCTCTCTCTCTCTATCTCTCTCCCCCACTATATCTATTTATAAATACGCATGTGTGTGTGTCTGTGTGTGTGTATGTGTGTGTGTGTGCGTGCGCACGTGTATGTGTGTGTGCGTGCGCGCGCGTGTATGTGTGTGTGTGTGTATGTGTGTGTGTGTGTGTGTGTGTGTGTGTGTGTGTGTGTGTGTGTGTGTGAGTGTGAATGTGTGTAAAACGATGAAATCCTGACAGCATTTACCCCACCCTGCTGTGTGCCTGTTTCACCTTTGCCATGGACATAATGTGTAGCCACCCGTATAGACCTGCTTAGAACCCTTTGTTCTGTTTTACCTAGTTACCTAGATGACAGTCAGAAATAGTTTTTTCATTCCAGGTAGCCTACATTACCGAGAGTTGCACGAATGTACATGTGAGGCACTGTGCTGGAATCAGGCGCTCGTCAAAATAAGGAAATCAATGAAAATGGCATTTTCCTTTCCGTTTGGCAATTTTTATCTAGTTTTTATTTTTTTGTTGAACACCTTTTAAGTCTATTCAAAAATACATCGCAGTGTGGATTTTACTGGAAAAGAATGTTTAACACACAAAAAATGTCAATTTATAGTCAACAAGGACTCTCGAGCTTGGGAAATCACCAAACTTTGGCTGCCATTTTTTCGCTAATTTTACCACTGACACCAGGAGACCCCTACTTCCTTCGATCTGAAATATCTCGTCTTCTATTAAAGCTAAATCTGTAATTTTTTTAAATAGAAAGCAAGGCAAATGAACAAGCTTTAAGACGATACCAATAAATTTATATACCAAGAATTGACGAGCGCCTGTTTCCACTGCGCCTTGACACATTATTATACATAAAGATGAACAATACATTCGTTGATATCTTTTTCTCCTTGTATTTATTTATGAATTAATTTTATTTGTTTTTTTTTTTTTAAAGTTTATATATTTTATCTATCTCGTTCTAACCATGTTGTTTGATTTCAAGCAACAATCTTAGACTGATACTTGCTCAACGCACTGTTACGCTCATAAGATAAATGCCAAAGTAGCCATTTTGAGAAAACGAAAAAAAAAAACTTTCTTTAGAATAATCGACTTTGAGAAATGCTTGGATTTTGGTACACTCATCAAATTTTATATTTGGCTTACTCTTTTGTCCAAGAGAACTATAATATTATTGAGCTCGCTCTGCTCTTTTGTCCAAGAGAACTATAATACATGTATTATTAAGCTCACTCTGCTCTTCCTTTCAGTGTCAAAAACTCATAACCGGCCAAAAATGACGTAAGCAGCTATCTTATGAGCGAAACAACACACATATTATTATTATTATTATTATTATTATTATTATTATATATATATATATATATATATATATATATATATATATATATATATATATATATATATATATATATATATATATATATCTATATATATTTAGGCCCCCGGTAAGCCCCCGGGCGGATTTCAGTCGTACATGTACAGTTAGTTATATTTCTCTACCTCCTGTCGGGCAGTCAGCTAAGTTCCTTTCTTTAAAAAAAAAAAAAAAAAATTTTGGGGGGGGGGGGGTGGTTAGAGGATCTGCATTTAATTTTTCTATTGCTCCCCCCCCCCCTTTTTTTTGGGGGGGGGGGGTATTATTAGGCCTCTACTGTGTAAAATAGTAACCTTACTGTAAAATAGAAACCTTACTGCAGTCCAAAAATATGGCGCAACTTGTTGTGAAATATCTCTCCAACCGTCGAACGTAAACCCTCTAGTTTTTGCACAGTGACTTGTGTCAATTTGTCTTAATAGATCAATATTTTTGTAAACACCTGTTAGCTATATTCTAGAAAAATCCTTAATAAATATTAATGATAATTCCCAGTGGGTGGTTTCTACAGATTTTAAAAAGTTTACAGATAGAAGGACAAAATCGCTTTCAAAAGCAACTGCAAGTCCGTCATGTTTTTCTAATCGCAAGATTATGTTTATTGAACGCATGTTTTGAAAACTTTTAGCGCAAAAAAGTGTTCACTATAAGACTAATTTCTTGTAGCTAGTTTTGCCTCTAAAAAGTGTCACTGGTGATCTGTGACGTAGATCTAGGCCATAATTATGTGTACGCAAAATGTGTGTGAGAAGCGGGAAGTGCTGTGAACAATTCCATTTTCCGCGTGAAGGAGGTTTGTAGTATTTTATATAAATTTATGAAGAACAGTTTTTTAATCTAGCCTTAATTGTTGTGGAAAAATATGATTAATTAAAAATAAATTAATACAAACTGCTGTGCAAAGTATGGGTGACATTGATTCACCCGGTAGAAAGATATTTGAGGATAAGTTGTGTTTGTTACTATCTTGTAACACCTCTAATCTTCGGCATTTATCTGACCTTATTGTGTTTGCAAGTGCCGTAAAACTCTTCCTAAAACTGAACTAAGTTGCGCCACGAATTTTTGACCGCACTGCAGTACAAATGTCATTGTTAGTACAGAACCAGCAGCGGTAGGCCGTGTGCACAGCTCAAACATGGATGATTTCAGTGGGTTTTTGGAGGGTGCTCTGGTGTGGTTTGCTCCTTCTTTCCAATCAAACATCTATCGTCCTGATCTCTCTTCCTTCTTTTTTTTATGTTTGTTACTCTCTTGTAACACCTCTAATCTTCGGCACTTATTTATATGACCTTATTGTGTTGCAACTGCCGTAAAACTCTTACTAAAACTAAAACGACTAAAGTAACAGCTCCGGTAGACTGTGTGTATGGCACAAACTTGAATGATTGAAATACTCTTTTCCCAGTGGAATACCTGTACGGGACTCTGTGATATTGCAAATATTATATCTCTACATGGCTTGGCACTATTTTATTTTTTTCCCAATTATGTTTTATTATGATTGCTGGACTTGCTGGGCTTTTTGGTGTTAAATTCTTAGAATACATGTTAAATTCTTAGAATACGTTTTAAATGCTTAGGAAACGTTTTAAATTCATGGTATACGTTTTACATCTTTTTTCCTTTTGGGTGTTTTGGAGGGCTGGAGATAGGGGTTGTGGGGTATAAATACTGTTAATATGTATTGGTTTCATTTTTATTAGATATATAGGTAGTCTCATACATTCCAGTAGGCCTGTCCAGTATTATTTCATTTGTTTAAAGCTCAAAACACAGTATAATTTCCATTAATTCATCTTATTGACTGAAAGAAACAACATTTTACAAGACGTTCATTTACATTCCATTTTCCTCCACGCACTTTTACATCTGCACAGTCAAGTGGGTGATAGGCGGGTGCTCTGTCGTGGTTTGCTCCTTCTTACCTGTCAAACATATGTCGTCCTCATCTCCCC